AAAAAAAGTCAATTCAGATCACATTTAATGGTATCTCAAAAAGGTAGAATAACCTTAGGAAAATGGTCAGTTAGAAAAAATAGTGCATTTAATAACATGATTTAAAATATGTTGTGTATATTAACTTTGATTCATCTTCCTTCTCAGACTTCAGATACACCATGCAGAAGAGGTTCCCATCAATTCTGGAAGGTAGGTTAGGAGCTGTTGACTTCAGAGGGATGCCTAGAGCGCCTGTTGCATCTTATGTCCAAAAGAGATTTTATTACTGCATTTATTTTTTATAATAATTATTTATTGTTCTGTGGTAAGTTTAAGCAGAAACATGTATGATTCTGTATAGGTATGGCTGGAGTGTCAGATAGCTGGACAGAGTGCTCAGAACTAGAGGACAGCACATCCAACCAAACCAGCCCTGAAGTGGCTTACCTTCAGACACAGGCCGAGCTTACAAGTAATATGCATTTTCCTGTTTTTCAGTTTATTACAAAAGCAATGAGTGGGCTGGAATCCATGGCATAAGGGAGAATGACCAAATGACATGGCTAAGCAGCAAGAACTGAAGTAAGAAGGACATGGCACAAAATTCCTGTAAAAATGTTCGCTTTAAAATGTCATTCATCTTTTTGATTTATTGCCTTTGTACTTCTTTTTCAGCCCTTTGTGCCTGAACTGTTTCTTCTTTTTGATAATACTTTTCACATCCCTATTGTGAAGCCATCTGTCACGCTCTACTTCCCACTTGAGCTGTTTGACACCTGTAAGAGGAAAGAAGGAAGATGAGAAATGAGGAACTGATTAATAACTTGGACGATTACGGTGAAGTGCCCATCCTCTGACTATTGTATAGAACATGGATAAATCATGTAAAAGTTAATTTAGCTACTGTATTTATAAATGCCAATAAAATTTAAGCTGCTTTTTTTTCCCTTTTTTATTTTGACATGAAGTCTTTTCTATTTCATGAAATATAATCTTACCATTACAGCACCTCGGGGTTTTCTGCAAGTTGTTTGCATTTTCCTCATGTTACTCGTTACACATGCTCATATAGAAGTACTCAAGGTTTTTACTGCTGCTGTTAACATTTTTCTGTTGCTACCTAATTGTAGGAGTTCTAGAAATTAATTAATTGTGATTTTTTTGAATTAGTTTTTTCTGGGAAACTGCTTTTCTTTCACTGGTACTGCAATGATAAATTTCAATAGCTAGACATAAAGAGCCACACGTTATGTTTCACAATGACCCAAGTGCTACTACACTCTTCCTCAACGCAAAATTCATATGAAGAATCTCGGAGAAGTGACTATTACTATTTTTTTTTCCTCCTCTTCTTCTTCTTTTTTTTTTTTTTTTAATTTGCAGGGAAGGGGCACATTGCAACCTCTTCTCCTCCTTGAAGCCGTACTTATTCCAGTAGTCACAAATAAAATTAGCGCTGAGCATCCTTCAATAGAAATCATGACTTACTGACATTGAGCTACTACTGTTATTTGCTCTTTGACCGTATGTGTATTTCAGATCAGATATATGTCTTTGTGTAGAGGATTTGAAGGGAAAGGAGCTTGTCACTGTTAGGAATATATGCTCCCTGCAGCATGTACTTACTTGCGTTATCTCTGTTCGCCATGGCATTCATCCCAATGTTGTCAAATTTAGACCCAGCATTTTCATCCAGCAGGTAGCCAAACTTTAAAGAGAAATTTTAGTATTTAATTACTAATAAACAGGTGAAATGCATATATATGAATTCTTTAACTGATCAAACATACCTCTTCTGCAGATGCCAACATAGTGGCATCTTTGAGCTTTCTCTTTTTTCTTGTGCTGGATCCTTCAATAAAAAAATACTATTATTAAAGTATAAAGTAAAAAAGTATTATTCTTAAAGACAGCATTTCTAGTTCACAATGACATTAAAATAAAAAACTTAACATGTTTTAAAAGGTTATTTTTATTTACTAAGACCTCTGAGATAGCTGTGTTAAAAAGCTTCTCTACTCCCGTTCCCCTAAAAGAAGGGGAAGAAGTGTTTCAACTTGGGGCTAAATAGCCATATTCCATGCAACTTTTGCTTCATCAAACTCAAACACACCTCTTTCAATCTCCAGTCCTCTGAGGGCGGAAAGTTACCCTGAACTAGGCCATCCTGGTTGGAGGTCAAGGGTAACACCAGCTCCTTTTCATTTACGGTTTATCCAAATCTGAACCCAAATCCAAGACCGTAAATAACATACCAAACCACTCTGAATCCAAAGTTTTCCAGACTGTATTTGTATTAAGCTTTCTCAAATGGAAATCATGAGAATGTGAGAGTGTTTTCTTACCTTCAAGTGATCCTGCAAAATCAATATTGTTCTTTCTCTTGCCCTTTTTATTGACAGATGTGATTTTATTGTCATTGTTCAAGTCTGGAAAAAAAAAGTAATTCATATATCAGAAGTATTTGTCATAAGGCGATAATAGTTGGAGTTTTTACTTTATAAAAAGTTTAAATCATAGTGGACCCACTCTAATTTTGATCTATTAAACCCACATGACTTTAAAAAGCATTCAATGGTGTGCCCTTCTTAATAGCTTTTATTCCACAGCACAAGAAAGGAGAAATACAAAACGATAAATATGGAGACGAACAGAACAAAAGCCTGCGTTACGTAAACTTTGAGGGTCTGCTTGGTAAGCATGACGCCATAGTAATCTCATGAAGGATCAATATATTAACAGCTAAATCAATAGTTTACCAACTTTATCCTCAGTCATCTTCCTGTGACCTTATTAGTACAAATACTCCATTAATAGGTGCTTCCCCAGTCACAAAGTGTTAACTGAGTAAACAGCCTTTCAATTGAAAATAAAAACCATGAAGGTGCAGCAACCAGTTTTATTCACTAAGGAGTGAATAAAAATTTGGGTGTGTAAGCTTACGCAAGCTATTTTGTGCTACAGTTTTAGAAAGTACTTCCTCTAAAAATCAACATTAATTAGGTCTAAATGAAAAAAAAAAAAAGACCACATTCCAGGCATGTTTTTTAATAGTTTTTAATGCTTTCAAAATTGTAAAGCTTTTGCCTTGTGTAGCCAGCTATTTGTGTATAAAGCTGCTTTTACTACTGATGTTTTCAGAAGAAAGGATGTCTTGTTTGCAAATTTTTAAATCGAGTCACCTAAATCGAGACTTGAGTCAAGAACTGCTTTTGATCTGAAGACCTGTTGTCCAGAGAAGGACATTACCCACTTAACTTAAAAGCCAAATCTCCCATCTAGGTAATTAAACATTAATTTAAATAAAAATTTAAATATTTAGATAACACATTTAAAATGATGGTTGATGTTGCTTTTTTTTCAGGTTCTGATCATAGTTACTTTACCTAGGCTGTTATCATCATCAGATGCATCCATAAATACACCTCCTTCTTCATCAATATCCTCTCCAAAATCTTCCTCCATGCTTCCTAAGGAGACTTCTTCATCATCCAGCTCACTGAACCCATCTTCATCTTCAGAATCCTCCCAGTCAGCATCAGACTTCTTGTTTCTTTGACTTTTTTTACTGCCTGTGGTTTCCTTTTTTATGTTTCTGAAAATACATAACAAGCTCAGCAAATCATCTGGCAAAATACTGTTTTCAGATAACATTTTTTTCTCCCAAGAGCTTTTGTTTCTTTTAAGATTCACAAACTGCTGGTTTGTGAATCCAGCAACTCTACTAAGTGAGAAAATTAGCCTTTTCAATTAAAGAAGAAATATACAGTTATGGATTTGTCTCCTCTTTGCTATTTTTTACTCACTCCATTCCAGCTCATAAAAATTTTCAGATTTTACTGGAAGTTTAATTCTCTCTCTCTCTCTAAAAGAAGCTTTCTGCGTTGATTTTAAAGCTGTACTCTCCATATTTTAAACAAAAAGGAAGGTACTTAATCATTAATGGAACTGCTGACTTCCTGAGAATTGTGCTCTCTGATTTAGGATCCCACAAACTATTCACTGTGTTAGGTCCAGTTACAACCTACGAGCTGCTTCAAGCAGCAGTGCCATTCTCCCTCATCCTGTTTACTTCTATGCTTGGTTAAATCACAGACAGAAACCCGAGATAGAGAAAAACAGGTAAAAGAAGGACTTTGCTTACGGGGTCATTGCATTGTATAAATAAACCACTACAAGTCTCACACTTCAAGCCAAGAGACTGCAAACACCCTGGGATCAGAAGGCTCCATTGTGGAGGAGGTAGGAAAGGAGGGATATGCAGCATTAATCTGCTATTGCCAATTTTGAAAAGCGACATGTCGGGCATTTTTGAAAAAGGTCTATTCAATTTGGAGAGTAAAATGCTATAGGGATATCAAAGCAGGAGCATGAAAGAAGAGATTCAAAGTCTTACCCTGCAAAATCAAGATCATCCTGGCTAACATCAATGGCACTATCAGCAGCTTCAAATGTATCTGAAGAGGAAAAAAAAGAAAAAAAGTTTATTTTTCAGTTACTACAAGACAAAGTCAAACAAAACCATCATAAAGTCATTGCAAATGTAGAGCTAAGACCACAGCAGAAGTTCGTTAAAGATGTAACTGAATAAATAGCACATTCCTTGAGGTCAGGAATGATGATAGAAATTATGAGATTTAAAAAAAAAAAAAAAAAAAAGACCAAGTAGTAAAGAGAGAATATGCCTTACAAACTGCTAGAAGTTATTTAATTCACAGATTACATCAGGGAAAGAACAACAAGGCATGAACTGCCACTCATGAATTTATGTTTAAAATTATACAATTTCCATCTGCTAGAAAAGCTCTCGACTAAAGTAATAAGAGGAAAGTCTGGTTTCAAGGTGCGCTTCTAGTCAGTCTGTGGAGAGTAACACAGAATGGGAATTGAAGAGCCAGTTCTCTTAATTTCCATAATTCTCTATTTGGTTCTTCTTTATTATTAGTTTTATCTTAAAAAGCTGTATTCGTATGTTTGCAAAAGCAGGACATATTGAGATTATTATTGTAAGGAAAAACAAGGCCTTACCAAGTGCTCTCTCAAATTCATCATCATCTACATCTTCCACACTTTCTTCATCTTCCTGAAGCTTTTGTTTCTCTTTCCTTTTATCAAACTTCGTATAAAATCTGAAATAAGTAGCATATTGTTCTCAAACACAAGATTACATCTGGTGTTGCTTATGACAAATTAAAAAAATACATATTATCTGTTTTACATGCAATTTGCCAACTAAAACGTTAATAGTTTCAGACATATCCCAAGTCATACAGGGGCAGAAGAATACTGTACTTCTAAACAAAGCTTTAAAAGCGGAATCTCAGTTACAATCACTGTCCATGTAACACACTGTTACCTTCTCAAGACAGAGCTGTGCTCTTAAACTACTTTTTCTTTATTTTCATAATTCTGTCCATGGATAATTAAAAAATATTAGCAGGACCCTCATGCCTACCTTTGCTGCAACACAGTTTGGAAAAACTATTTGATCAACAGGAAAGAGGGTAGTCTTCACAGCTCACTTAGCACAAATGGCATAGTCCCATTAAGCAGGTATTTTTTTCAAATTTTTAAAAAAGCCCCAATATCAATTAATATCTTCTGATACATAACAATTACAAAACACAAGACATTAACGATCATTCATTGTTTAAGGTCTCTCTACTAAAATGTCAACTTATACAATGTATAAACCACAAATACCGACTGTCTGTCTTTGTGAGCTCCATTCTTTCCCAGGCTTTTCTGACAAAATTCTCAAATTACATTCTGTGGGAACAGCTATCATTACAAGGTCACTCAATTTAATCAAAATTTGGAATATGAGACAGTATTTACAAAATGCAATTTTTAGCAGAACTGCATTCAAAACTAACACCTACAATGAATGTTCACAAATATTTCATTACCTGTGGAAAAATACTTCATCCACTGGGATTGTGCTTTCATCTCTGGCACGGAACTCCTTACTGTTGACTGAAAAAAATAAAAGTAAAAACAGAATTGGTTTTACCTCAATCTGAGCATCATTTGTTACTCTTAAATTGTGCTAGACAGTTCCTGGCAAGAGAACGACAGTTCTTAGGACAACTGCTCTCCAGCAGTTGCAAGGCAGGGCCAGTTTATCACGATGGAAAAGGAAACGAAGCCGCGCGGTGCCTGCACTTCCAGGGAACCGAGGCAGACAGATACTCTGCAGTAGCTGATTCAGCAGGCTGCTGATACAGCTCCTGGGGCAGAAGCTTTTAACTCCAACACCTTCCCCTTCCTCACCCACCTCAAAAGCAAATCAAAAGAGAAAGGGCTGTATCTGATCTCACGTGGCACAAATTACAGTAAATTGTAACTGACAAGCATCTCTGTTTCTCAAAACGGAGTAAAACACAGTCGCAAGAGAGGACAGTTCGAATGAACAGCAGAAGGTACCACAGGATTTACAATCTCAGTTCTCTAAACTTCAGCAGAGTCCAGCTATACACAACAAGCACAGACTTTTACACTCATATTAAAATACCCTTTTTTGGGATATTTTACTGGTAAAATATTTAACTTCCTTAATTCTAACTTAAACGACCAGTCCGTTCCTTCAACTCAGAATAACCTCAGGAATTCAATAAAAACAAAACAACAGCAAAAAACATATCCTAGGTAAAAACAATTAGGCTTTGATAGCCATAAAACCACATGTCATTAAAAGTACATGAGCTATTCTGAAACTACTATCAGCTCAGTGTAACAGATCAGACCTAAAGTTATAGGATGCACAACCCTGGGAATGTAGCACAAACATAGACTTATTCTGAATGAAGAAGAAGATTTGCAACTCCAATTGCCAGGTATCAACTTTCATTAGCACATATGAATTTAATCTAAGGAGATAAAGATTATTACGTCTGATCACTTACCCTAATTTTTTCACTATAGGTTTTTACCACCAAATCCTGCCCTTAATCACTGGAAGGAGTTAGACTAGACAAAGGCTGTCTTATTTATAGAAGCAGAATGATACTCACCAAAATAATAGTTCCAAAGATACCTTATACTAATCCTAACAGTAACTGCAGATATGGCACTGCATAAAGTAATCCATATCTTTTAATGAAAGAGCTTAAAGAGATTTAAACCATTATATAAATCTATTGTGGCACTGCTTAAGGAGATGAAAGAGCTTAAGGAGATTTAAACCATTATATAAATCTATTTGCTGAGATTTTAAGTCACTTTTCAGTCACATTAAGAAGAATAAATGATGTTATATAATAGCTTGGGAACAAAAATAAGAACGTTAACTAGAGATCAGCATACAAGTTAAAGATTTTCACATAGTTTTAGATAATAAGAACTTCAAAAAACAGTACTTGTAATATTAGGATACTAAACATAAGAATGACATGTTTGTGAGCAGAAAATTTAGTTCGTATTTTGTAAACAAACCTCCCTCTGACATTAACTCTCTACATATTACTCTTCTACCTAGAATAACACTAGCTGGATGAAATTCTACAGGCTATTCTGGCCTTTTTTTAAGTCATGTTACATTACCAGTCTCAAGCGAAATGGCAACAAGACTCTATAGCGCTTATATAAGACTGCAAATATATTCTGACCAGGGAATTTATTTCACTTTATGGGGAATGTAAAGAAAGATAATTGAACTTCAGAGAAGGTGTAGGAGCATTACAAACAAGGCAAGCTCTGTCCTTTGCTGCTATACATTTCACAAAGAGATGGCTAAACAGATGGTATTACCTTCATGATGCACTGCCTAAAAAAATGAATCACTATGGTAGAAACTGAGAGTTAGTGAAAAAACAAGATGGGGAGGAGGTGTTAAAAGGATTTTGCATAAAAAGCCAAATGCAACAGTAAACGCTAACATGCTTTCCCACTCAAGAATGCAGAAAATAATGACTGAGGTAACTGAGTTCCTCTATATCCCTTGCTCTGTGGTTTAATGGATCCAAAGTTTCAACTGTGGCGACTACAAGCACCATTTATGCAAGAAGTTTAGACCAGATCCTGAATGCAAGACACAACCAGTGCACTCGTGATGAACAGACTTTGTATTTGTTTTTTTGTTTACTTGGTTTTTTATTGTTAACAGAAATAGCACACACATAGAAGACAGATGATCACAACAGTTACAATTCCTTTGCCAACATAATTGTAACTGCAAAGGGCCTGACTTACCTGCGAGATTCTGCACATTTTTCATAAACTGTTTCTTCTTCGGCTGCATTACCACACTGCTGGTGTTCTCTGTGGTGGAACATAAATCAGCAACAAACTGTATTACTAACCTTTACACAAATTCTCCTCTCACTTTGCTTACTCCTGGTAGCTTAGCATTTTCTGTACTGCTGCTCAGCAGGTGGTCCTAAATTGCAGACATCTTTTCTGAAGCCCCATGGACCAATTCCCTTCCTCCTCTTTTACCAACATCCACCTCCCAACATAAAGACAGGCACAAACAGGCACAGTTATTTGGCAGCCTGAGACGAGTCTGGTCAGTACAGTTAATCAATAATCAAGACTAAATGCTTCTAAGCACAGAGAAGTTCACACCTTTGCCTTTGTGGAGTTTGGGATTTCTGTACACAAAGCGATCCAAGAATCTCATTAAGGTGAAATCTTGTAATGGGTCACCTGAGTACTGAATATGATTTCCCTGAAATAATAAAAAGCAAAAAAAAAATAAGGTCTTCATTTAAGCTATATAGCAACTATACACAGAGTTAGGGGAACCAAACGTATATAATACAAGCATGACATTAAATGATGCTTCATAAGAAAGAGAGTTGGGATATTTCATGATTTAAGTCTTGCAGATTAATACATTCTTGCACAGGCTTTATAATTGGAATTTCAATATTTCTTAACAAAAACCCACCACATCCAAATGTGATAAACTGCCTTTTAATGTGCTGAACTAGCGGACAAAAAAACATTTTCATTAACAAAGAGATTCATTGTTTGCAGTCAGGCAGTTATACTCATCACTACTTGGATAATATATAATCAAGTGAAAACTAAATTCTTTTAAGCGCCTAATTGTATATGTTTGGGTAGTTCTATGGCATAGAACTAAATCACAACTAAAAAAGCATTTGTTCCAACAGCATAGTTCTCTGTATTAAAAAAACACTTTAAATAAAAAGATACGCCAAAACTCTGAAGCAGTTTTAAGAAACATGAAATATCCAGGTTTCTACAAAGTTAGCGATTTCTGTAAGTAGTCCAACTCAGATAAAACATTTTAATTCCATGAAAAAACTGGTATCTGAATGCACATTACTATGTTGCAGCGTTTCTAGTTACATGTAGAGTACAAGGAAACTCTATGAAGTATTTTTAAAAATAGGAAAATACAACTAACATAAAAATCAAAGTTCTGAGCTACAGATTAGTACAAGTACTTACTTCTAGAATTGTTCTTGCAAAGAGGGCCACAGACGGATGAAAATGTTCAGAGAGCTGAAAAACATACATCACACTTTTATTCCTGCTTTGAAATACAGACAAGAATGATTCATGTCATCCTCTCAGACTCCTGACAACACCACTATGCTTTCAGACCACTCTCCAATTCACCACACAAACTTCAGACACATTAGATCTGCTTTTCCCTCAAACAACTGAGGAGCTTCAATAGGTCTAGTCTTTTGTTTGTGTTAACCAAGTATGTCCTCACTTAATGGCCACAAACTGAAGCACCAAAAGTTCCACAGGAACTTAAGGAAAATTTTTTTTTTAACAGTGAGGGTGACAGAGCACTGGAACAGGCTGCCCAGAGAGGTTGTGGAGTCTCCTTCTCTGGAGATCTTCCAAACCCGCTTGGACGCAGTCCTGTGCCACGTGCTCTAGGTGACCCTGCGTGTGCAGGGGGGTTGGACTAGATGACCTCTAGAGGTCCCTTCCAACCTTAAGCATTCTATGATTCTTGATATAAAACTAAGATTTAAAAGCCAAAAAATATTATTGTTCAAATCTCCACTTAAAATTTCTATGCCCTATGCCTGAATATCACTGTTACACGAGTCCTTTCTGAGTTGAACGACATCTTCTCTAACCTTTCTGTTATTCCCCAGGTAGCTACCTCAAGAATAACAAAGCTTGGCTTGTTCTTTCAATACAAGGAGCGTACTAAGAAATACAAGAAGCAGCAATACAAGGTACTTCACCTTCTTCAGCTCCCAAAGGCTTGTACTTTCAGCACCACAATACAAAGGACTTCGGTGCAGAGGATCATATGAAACTCCACTCTTTCTCCCTAGGTTGGGAAGGAGAACAAAGTATCTTTTGAATTTCCTCAAGTTACTCTATGAGAATATTATTTTCACTTCATCACGACAGTAAAACTGCCTATCATTTTCAACTGGGTAGGCCAGCGATTCATACAGAAGCACATAGGGGTTATATTCAGTATGCCCTTCCCTAGCATATGATCACAGGTGAGTTCCTACATGCTTCGAAAGAAGCCCCGGGAGAGACCATCTCTCTTCTGAAAGGTCCTCACGAGGGAGTGAAGCTAGAAGCAGCCTCAAAGCTAGATGAGTTCTAGAGGCAGGTTCAAAGCTAGATGTTCTAGCAAGCTTCACAAGCAAAGGAGTAACTAGGCCTCTTAGGCTTCATTACAGCACTCTGAAGATGTTTGAATCTGGAAGCAAAAAACTCCATGCTAATTTACGTAGCTTAATGGAGTTGTGACTACATAGTAAAGTGAATTAACTAGACAATTAACACAGCCTCCTCATCACTGCTAAGGGAGGGAGGACGAAAAACAATTCAGGTTGATTCGCTTGATACAAGACAATCTGGAAAAGTTTAAAATAATCTCTTAAATTTTCTGCTTAATCCCTTAAGTTTTCAATTCATCAAGTCTTGATGAACACTATTGAATGTTGGCATTTGAATGCATTAGATTTTCTTGCAAATTTACCTCCCATATTCAGATGATGCACCCATGAGGGTGCTGAATTTGGATCATTTGTTTTGGCAGAATTTTCTGGTGTGCTACTTTCTTCCCCTTCCTCTTTATCTGCATCCACAAACTTTTCCTCATTCTCTTCATCTTCTTCTTGATCATTAAAGCACTCTTCTTCATCAGACTCCTAAAAAACAAAATATTAATGAAGAGCTGTCTTTTCCAGGCATAAGAATTACTTGCAAAAGGAAAAAGGTAGAGATAGGTTTTTATGGAATTAGAAGTGGTAAGTGAAAGCTCAATGAAATAATGAAATCAAATTGTACCACATGATCCTGTAACTGGACCCTCAACCCAGGTTTTACTTTCAGAAGCTCAGACAGAAGGTAAAGGGCTCCACAAATAAAGGGTGGCATCAGTCCACAAGTGACTTGAAGTAGCCTCTTCACAAAGGCTTTCACTCGCCGTAACACTACGTCAGCCTTCAGAGACTTATAGACAAGATTAAGAAACATGGATGGCTTTGAGCAAGTTGCTAAACCAGGATCCAGCAGCTTCCTGTAGAAAACAGACGAGAAAATATTTTGGTTTTCATAATGCATGTAGAAGAATAATTGCTATTAACCAGTCACCTGAATTTTTCAAAGTGGTACCTAAAAGACTAGTCATAGCTTGTTCTCCAACAAACGCCAGATGTTATATTCAACCCTGAAATATCAGCATCAGTGTCGCATTGATAGAGGGGATATACAGGGGAAAAAAATAAATATATATATCTGCAACCAGAAAAAAAAATAAGAAAATGTATAAAGAAATTCAGTTCAAATGAAAAAGTTGCAAAACTGAAGATGTTCAAAGTGAGAAACCAGTCTGATCTATTCAGACTTTCTAAATAAGTAAATAAGGATTAACATTAAAATGTTTCACAGTCAAAATTGACCTATTCATTGCCCAGTCCAATTTCTGGTCCATTTTTTTACTTGCTACCATGCACAGGAAGGCTACTAAATACATTACATCTTCTGAAAGGAACAAGCATTGACTTCTCTTTTATCAACTAAACAGATGCCTATAAGTATCCTATAAAGACTCACAGCAATCAGCTGGGGCAAAAAAAAAAAAAGAAATTATTTTTGCAATACAAAGTTTTTTGACTATTCAACTTAAATTATTTAAACATTCTGTAGATATTCTTTCCCCTCATGAAAAAAATACATACAAGGTCTTAGGCTAGTACGTGTCTAAAATACAAACTAGCTGTAGAAGTGACTTCATAAGTAGCAGTTATCAACTAGTTTCAAAATACATCTGGAATTAAAACATACCACCAGAATACAATGCAGTGAGTGAGGACTAATTGTGGTGTTCTCAGGACTTGCACTACCATTTGTTTTATTCCTATGTTAAGTGAAAGAAAACACATTTTCTTCTAAGACATCTTCTAAAACATCAGAGATTTTCATGTAAGACATGAAACTGCAAAACATTCAGAGGAAAATGCTTCTACAACATTGCTTTAAAATAAAAGCAAGCAGATACTCTGTAAAACAAAATTCATATCACAAACCCAAACCCATCACTTACTTGTAGAGTGCTGCATAATATCTGTCCGACACAGTCTGCTGAGAGTCCATTACTTGGAAAAGTAACATCAGGGCCTGAACACTAGTACTGAAGTTCACAACATGCAGAACTTTAAACAAGGTGTTCAGCTGCTCTTTCACTTTCTCATCGCCAGTCTCAGCATATGGGTAAGCTCTGTTCACTCCACTTAGAAGAGCGCTGAGCATTTTGGATTCAACATCTTTTTTTTTAATGCAGTTCCGAAAAAAGCAGAAATACAAAGTTATGAGCTTGTTAGCCAGCGCGCTTTCCTCGTGGCTGAGGACTATCTGATTTAAAAAACAGACAGCATAATACTGAGTTTTGACACTAATGTTGGAGCGGTACAAGAGCCTCTCCACCTCGCTGCACACTACTCCTTTCATATTTGGATGTTTGTGAAGTAAAGTCTCTAGCAGGTAGGAGGCTTTGGTGGCTATTTTATTCTGAGGGTCTCCCAGCTTATTTACCAGCAGAACAAGCAGAACTTTCTCCTGCTCAGGCTTGTTACAGAGGAGCTCGTGAGCGACAGACAGTGCTCGGGCTTTTGCTGCTGTCAGAGAATCACGGCTCAGCATTTCTAGCACCTGCACAAACTCTGCCACTTGTAGTTTCAGCTGATGCTCAAAGTACCACAGTATCAGTCGTCTGTCTCTCGAATCCCTGTTCCCACTTGCCATCTTTCCTATGTTGTTAAAAGGATGTTGTGAAAAAGACGATAGTTTACGACTGTCTGGTAGCAGATCTGACATAAGAAGCTCCTTGAAAGTATCCAATGCCATGAGGCTCTGCTGCTTACTGCCTTTCTTCTTTATGAGGTTTACCAGGTTCTCCACAAACTGAAGACTGTGGACAGCACTGTCCTGAATGAGAAGGGTCATAGCTGCCAACCTGTCAGCTAAGGTACCTGATGACACGACAGTTTTCATCCATGCAGAAGAGGCCCCTTTCTGATAATTTGTCTTATTCTTATACAAATCTGTCTCATGTTGGTACAGCTTTTGGGCCAAAGCCTTATACTTGGACAGAAGCGCCTGGTCTTGTGGTTCAGAAGTGAATTCACTGGTGTATTCCAGATCATACCATTTGCTCCCTGGTTTGATCAGTAACACCTGTCTAGCATGAAATTCAAAATCTTCTTCCTGCCGCCCTTTCTTTACTGAAAGGTGCTGGTCGTCATCACAAACTGCTTGTTTTTTCTTACTCTCTTTCCTGCTGGTCGTTCTTTCTTTGACATTTTTCCCCTCTAATGAAGGAGCACTAATCTCCTTCTTGCTTTTCCCTTTCTTGATGGGCTTCTCTTTTCTCTGGTTGCCAGCACCACCCTCCTCGCCGTCCTCATCCTCCACCACGAGGCAGCTTTCCGTGTACTTGCCGAGCCCCAGGGAGTTCACGAACGCCTCGAGCTCGCCGGGCTTCAGGTCGTCATCGATGGCGTCCTTCTTCCCACCGTCCACAATCTCCTGCTCCTCGTCCACGCCGTACAGCATGAGGTAGTCTTGCTGCGGGCGACAGCGCGCGGCCGTTACGCGCCGCCAACGGCCGCCGCCAACGGCCGCCACGTGCTCGCGCACCCCTCGCTTTCCCCTTACCTTGGTGCCGCCCAAACGCAGCACCTCGTCCAGCGTGAAGCCGTCGCCATCCTCCT